ATCAACAAAATGACAAGTTTGACATCATCTACACCAGGGGAAACATCACCGAAGTATCACAAGATGAAGCGCAACACCCCCAGGCACCCAAATCAGCAAAAATCACAGTTTTGACAAGAGGAGGAGGGGGAGAAGGAGGAGAGGGAGAAAAAAAAGAAAGGGAAGAAGAAGAAGAAGAAGAAGAGGAAGAAAGAAGAAGGAGAGAAGAAGGAGAAGATGAAGAAGAAGAAGAAGAAGAAAAAGAGGAAGAAGAAGAGGAAGAAGAAGAAGGAGGAGAAGGCCTCCCCCCTCTTTCACTCACCTCTCGCTGGTCTCTAGGCAGTGGAGTCCCAATCCATGGTTCTAGCCTCCTGAGTATGACTTTTCCTCCCTCCAAGCTCTCTCCTCCTTCTCTCACACCTCTCCTCTAGCTATGGCAGACTCCTACCTCTAAGGCTGTGGAGTCCTTCCCTCTAGAAGGGCTAAGGGGACCCCCTTCAGCCTTTCCTCCTACTTCACAGCCCGAGGGCTATGGCGGAACACCTCCCTTGCCTTTCTCTAGCCTCTAGACCTCCTCCCTCAGCCCTATCACCATAGCCAGACTCCAGGCTAGCTCCGGCTCTCACTCCCTTGGCTCTCTTCCACTCGGACTCTTTCCTAGACTCATTTGGGCAGCATGGGCACCTCTCATGCTCAAATGAGAGTGGCGGCCTGCACCTCCATCTTATGTAGGCTGGAACAGGCGCACCGCCCAACCTCTAGGCCTCTCCAAGTGCCTCTAGGTGGACCGAGGTGCCCCCAAGGCCAAATTTCCGGTTTTGGCCTATCTGGAGGTACCTGGGCCTCATTTTGGCCAGATACGCGCAGTCCGAGAGGCTGGTACCCTCTCGGACTACCCTTTGGCCTACCCCGGCCTCTTTTTACTTCAAAAAGTGTTGCCTTTTGGGGTACCCTTACCCAAATGCAACCTTTACTGAAAATTGAGGGCCTAGAGGCCCATTTTTCGCCTTTTTTCTTGGTCTAGGCCTCCTTTGGGTAGGCCGTTGCATTTTTCCAAGTGGCGGCACAGATCTCAGCCTTGGATTTGGCTGAGATCTATGGTTCTCATCATTCCGAATAACTCCAAGCCCCCCTTGCTCCATATTTTAGTCTTGTGCTCCAATTTTCAATTTTTTTGATGTACCTGGCCCAAACCTTGGGCCAAATTCGCATTTTTTGTCTTGTTCCTCTCTTTGTTTTCCCTCTATTTTGCTGCCAACTCATTCCGGAGCTAGCCTTTTTGTGTCAGCCCACAAAAAACGGCTAGATCTCCTCCTCCGCAAGATCAGATCTCAAATCTAAGGCTAAAAAATGAGCCGGCCAACTCACATCAGCATTTTTCTTTATTTTTGTTGCTTAAATTCAGATATTGCAGAGATAATGCCCCAAGGACCTTATCTCTGCAATCCGGACTGCCCTCCTAGGATCTAGGAGGGATGAGGTCATCATCGAGACCTGCCAGTCCCTACCGCTGCAGTCCCAAC